CCGGGGGTGGCTGTCCCGGTGTCCCCCGTCCCCTCGCCGCCCCATCCCCGGCGCCCCGCGGGTCCGGTCCCGCCCCGTTCCGGTGACGGCGCGGGCGGGCCGGAAGCGCGGGGGGGGCGCGGTGGCCCCGCTCCCGTCCCGGTGCTCCCGGTGCTCCCGGCGCTCCCGGTGCTCCCCGTCCCGGCCCGGTCCCAGCCCGGCACCGCCATGCGCAAGTTCTTCCAGGAGATCAAGGCCGATCTGAAGTTCAAGACGGCGGGGCCCGGGCAGAAGCTCTCGGAGCCGTCCCGGTACGAGCTGGGGGGACCCTCCGGTAACGCCACCGCCGGTAACGCCACCGCCGGTAACGCCACCGCCGGTAACGCCACCCGCGGGCACCACCGGCCCCTCCGCCGCCGGTTCCTCCCGGGGCACGGCGGTTTCACCGGGCTGGGGCCAACCGGGGGTATCACCGGGGGTGTCACCGGCGGGTGGGTGCGCACCGAGCGCTCACCGAGCCCGTGCTCTCCGTGTTCTCCGTGCCAGGGCCCCCAAGGAGAAGCCCAAGGCCGAGGTGGCCCCGAAGCCCCGTCAGGCCCCGACGGATGAAGCGCAGAAGGCGGCGGCCGCGGCGCTGGCCCGGCTGGAGCTGAAACCCAAGGGGAAGGCGCCGTGCTCGTCGCAGGAGGCCATCAAGAACCAGGGTAGGAACGGGCTGGGGGGAAAATCGAGGATCCAACAGAGCCCGGCTGGAAAAACACCCGGCCGCGGYTCTGGTTTGGGGCTGCTCTGGTGGAAATGGGGTCACGCTCAGCCCCGGGCTGGGACGCAACACCTGGGCAGGTGTTTGYTTCCCTGGAATGTGCTGAGTCTCCGGTCGAACCGGGATTTGTGTGTTGTAGTGAAGAAAGAGCTGATGGCCGAGGCAGCTGCCAGTGAAAAGGGGCTCTCCGTGGAGGAAAAGGTGAGGGGGACACTGCCCTTCCCTACTCAGCACCCCTGGGGGCTGCTCTCCCTGTCCTGGCTGGATCTGCCAGGGTGTTTATAAACATAAATCCCCCAAAAAAACCTCCCCGTGCTCAGCCTGGTGCCTGCTTTTATCTCCTTCAGGAGCAGGAGGAGGAAGGGGCAGCTGCTCCCTCTGTTTCGGGGGTTTATTTCATCTGCCCCTTGACCGGTGATGTTGTGAGGAAAGACCAGAAGGAAAAGCACCTTCGAGAAGCCATCCARGCAGTGAGTGCTTCCCTTCTTCCTCCTCAAACTCCTTCTGTGCCCTGTAAAATCTCCCCCAGGATAATTTTTAATTTTTTACCTGTTTAACGATCTTCAACCCAACAAACAGGGAACAAATGTGCAGAGTTGGGGTCACTCCTCCCTGAGCTGTTTCTCTCCCTCTCCCCCAGTATTTCTCCGTGGACCCAGTGGCTGCTTCCATCATGGAGATCCACACCTTCAATAAGGATCGGGACAAGGTCCGGCTGTGCGTGGAGACCATGGCCAAGTGAGTGGGATGAGGGCAGCTCATCCCTTCCCAGGTGGATTTTCTTGCTGTGCTCCTGGCAAAGGCTTTTTTTTTTTTTGGAAGAAAACTGAGCTTTTGAACAATCTGATTTATCAGTTGACCTAATGGCAGCATCCTGGAAGAGCTGTTCCACTAGAAGAGGTTTGGGAGCTGCTGGTTGTTTGGTTTGGCCCCCAAACATCGATGTAGTTTATTTTCCTGGGTTTCTCAGCTTTTTTTTTAATCTGTGAAAAATCCAGTGAGGAAAAATCCTCTCTGACCTTGGAGCAGCATGTCCTGCTGCAATCCAGGCAGTGCATTTCTCTTCCTGCAGGTACCTGGATAACATCTATCTCCATCCAGAGGAGGAGAAATACCGGAAAATCAAATTGCAGAACAAGGTGTTTCAGGTGAGCTCAGACTCCTGCACTGCCCAGCCTTGCAAAGCCCTTGCTTGGAGCAAACTCCATCCAAATCCTGTCTTTTTTTTTTCCAGGAAAGGATAAGCTGCTTGGAAGGGACGCACAAATTTTTCCAGGCTGTCGGGTTTGAGACAAAAACGCTGTCTGTTCCAGAGCAAGGCAAGAACTCGGGGTGTTAATGTGGAGTCAGGGCTTTGTGGGGTGCTGGGGAGTTGGGGGAGGTTGCTGAGAGCTCCATAGAGTCTCTGAAATTGCACATTCCTTGTGGAGATGTGACATTTTCCTGGAGATCCCTGTCCCYGCCGTAAAAACAGAGCGTTTTTGTGGTTGCAGACAGCACGGAGGAGTACTACGTGCTGAAGGAGGAGATGCTGAGCAGGCTGGAGGAGCTGAAGGAGCACAAGGAGCAGCTGCTGAGCTCGGAGCCCGTGCGGGCGCAGCTGCACCGGCAGCTCACCGTGTTCCAGCCTTCGGCCTCCGGAGCTGCCGCGCGCTTCGAGCTGCCCCACGACTTCTTCAACCTCACGGCCGAGGAGCTGCGCAGGGAGCAGCGGCTCCGGTGAGCCCGTGCTGGGGTCAGGGGGTGCCTGCAGCAGCTCTGTGCCCTCTCCTCGGTGCCTACAAAGCTCTGTTCCCCGCAGGACTGAGGCGGTGGAGAAGGCGTCCATGCTGAGAACCAGGGCCATGCGCGAGAAGGAGGAGCAGAGGGAGATGAGGAAATACAACTACACCTTGCTCCGGGTGCGCTTTCCCGATGGATACATCCTGCAAGGTAAAANGGGCTCCTCAGCCCTCCTCTAGCACCTCCACAAGCTTCTGAGAATATTGATAGTGTAAGGAACTGTGTAACAGGGCGTGCTGAAGGTAAACCACACCAAAACAACATTTTGATTAACATTTCTCTGTGAACTCTTCCCTCTCCAAACCTTTCCCCCTGCTCAGGGTTGGGATTTTAAGCCAGAAAGGGAAGAATCTCAAGGCATCATTAATTAAASCCTGCTCTTCCCAGGCCTCTGGAAACAAGCTGGACTCATTAGATCAGCRTGTGACAGCAGCCTGTGTGATGTCAGACCGTACAACAGCATAAATCCTCTTCAAATCTTCCAGCAGAACTCTGCAAATCATTTCAGGCTTTCCCAGCTCTTTGTTACAGGCTGGCAGGGGCTCCCAACAATTGACWATTTTTCTTTGGGGATTCTGCTTTAATGGTTTTCAGTGAAATCAGGCTGGCTGCAGGTCAGGGAAGTCGTCGATCAAGTTGGCATCAGCAGGTGAAGCCCCACGGAAGCGACCACAAAAGGTTAGATTTTGGTTAAATGCCAGACTCTCTCCCCTTGTTTTCTCATGGCAGGGACTTTTTATGCTCGAGAATCGGTCTCTGCACTCTACAAATTTGTGAGAGAAGCCCTCAAAGAGGACTGGCTGCCCTTTGAGCTCCTGGCACCCGGAGGTGTCAAACTGACTGATGAGAACTTGGCCTTCAATGAATGTGGGTTGGTGAGTGAAAAAAACCATTGTTGGTACCTTCCAGAGCATCTTGAGGTTGTCAGAGTCTCCTATCAGAGTCTTTTGCTACTCTGAGCTGGGGGAGAAGTTTGTGCCATTTCAGAGCCCCAGGGTGTGCTCTGGCTCCTCATTTTAAGCACAAACAAGTGACTGTTTGGGAGATTTGAGGTTGGGAGAGAAGTGCAGGGTCCTCCCTCCTGGAGCAAAGTGCAGTCAGGGGCTGAATATCCACACTGGGAAAGAGGGAACGCAGCAGGGGTGAGGGAGGGTCTSAACAGAAAGCCTGAAAGGAGCTTCTTGCAGAAATCCCCCTTGTCCTTCTCAGCTGGAGCAGTTCCAGGTTTGTGAACGCCCACAGGGTGTTCTGAACTCAAGGGTACCAGGGCAAGGTTGCAGCAAGCTGGGAGTGAAGGTGTGGGACTGGCTGGGCTGTCGGATTCCTTGCCCCCTGTTCCCTGGGGTCCCTGAGGTGCCCGTCCTGTCTCTGGAGTCCCTGAGGTGCCCGTCCTGTCTCTGGGGTCCCTGAGGTGCCCATGGGGTCCCTGAGATGCCCGTCCTGTTCCCTGGGGTCCCTAAGGTGCCCGTCTTGCCTGTGGGGTCCCTGGGGTCCCTGTCCTGTCTCTGGGGTCCCTGAGGTGCCTGTGGGGTCCCCAAGGTGCCCGTCCTGCCTGTGGGGTCCCTGAGGTGCCCGTCCTGCCTCTGGGATCCCTGAGGTGCCCATGGGGTCCCTGAGGTGCCCATGGGATCCCTGAGGTGCCTGTCCTGTCTCTGGGATCCCTGAGGTGCCCGTCCTGCCTATGGGGTTCCTGAGGTGCCCATCCTGCCTCTGGAGTCCCTGAGGTGCCTGTGGGGTCCCAGAGGTGCCCGTCCTGCTTGTGGGGTCCCAGAGGTGCCCATCCTGCCTATGGAGTCCCTGAGATGCCCGTCCTGCCTGTGGGGTCCCAGAGGTGCCTGTGGGGTCCCTGAGGTGCCCATCCTGTCTGTGGGGTCCCTGAGGTGCCTGTGGGGTCCCCGAGGTGCCCGTCCTGCCTGTGGGGTCCCTGTCCTGTCTCTGGGGTCCCTGAGGTGCCTGTCCTGCCCAGGTGCCCTCGGCCTTGCTAAGCCTGGCCTGGGATGCTGCAGTCATGGCCGATGTGGAGGCAGCGGCGGCGGCGGAGGAGCAGTGCAGCGCCCTGAAAGCAGARCTGCTGGCCGGGGTGCAGACTCTCTCCTGAAATAAAGGGCACTGCTGGCCGTGCTGCTGGGGTGAGACTCTTCCCTCCTTTTCCCAAGACTGCTGCTGGAGCTCCGGGAGCTCAGAGGTGGYGTTGGTTGAGCTCTGCAGAGGGGGCTGCACCCTGCTGTCCCCTCCCAGCTCCCAGTGGCACTGAGGAGCTTTCGACACCAAATTGGAGCAGGGGCTGCCTGAGGTGGTGCCAAGGCAGAGGTGGCACTGGGGTTAGGTGCTGKTAGGCTGGAGTACCAAGCTGAGCCTGGCTGTGGGGCTGGGTTTAGGACTCAGCTTCCCTTTTTGCTTCTGTGTGCACTGTAACTCCTACTGGAGAGACCCTACTGGGGTAAAGTTATACTTAGGCTGATTAAACAGAATTATTTAAAGATCAGTTCCGATCCCAGTTCTTTCAGTTGCATTGGTGTCAGGTTTGAGATGCCAAACCAGTCCGAGCTGGGGCTGGTACTGGTGTTAGTGGGGCAGCATCACAGCCCTTGTCCCTTCACAGCTAACAGCTACTGCTGCTGCCCATGGGGGAGATAAGAAACCCCCAATAACTGACAATCCTTAAAAGAACGAACTCATAACTCACCAGCCCTATAACGTTAAAAGCCCCAACAAGTCTTGTCTGTGTTTCATCAAATCTGATGCCAATTCAGTTCTTTACACCTCAGTTTTTCTGTGGGACAGAGCCCAGCTCTGATGCAGACAGAACACTGATCATCTACCCCTGACCTGGAACTCAGCCTGTCCCAAAATAAAGAGAAACGATGCATTTTCCCTTTTTCCAAWGGTAAAGCCCTGCTGCTGTTCTCTGGAGCAAGTAAGACCACAAACAGGATGGTACAAGAGCATAAATTCATATATAATTGTACATCATTTATACCCAAGGCCACGCTGTACAACATTATCAACAGTCATTCCCCAGTGGCATCACAATAAGCTTATTCCAAAATCCCTCAAGCTACTTTTAGAGATAACTTAGATACCTTCCATTACAAAGAAGTATCAACATTTCAATAATGCTTTATTAAGGACAGATTAATATGCAGGGTTTTTTTYTTTTTTTTTTAAAAAAAAAAAAAGCTAAAAAGTTAAAACTAGAAATTTAAGCTTCCATCTGGTCTGAAGCAGAACAAAGTGCTGTCTTCTCTTTACAAGAAATGTGGAATACTTGCAAGTATCTCGGTCAAAGATACACAAGGTTTAAAATGTTCTAGCTCATTCTACATACATACAGAGGAGTTAGTAGGCATTTAAGTCTCAAACTCTATTAGATGGGCTGTCCTGGTGAGCAGCTCTTGTGCCACTGGATTCTGAAGCTGTAGAACCTGCAAAGGAAAAAATGTGTTGGTTTTGGTTTGTTTTTATCAACACCCTCATTAATCCAGTAGAATTTGACTACTTTATGTTTTATCTGTCTTAGCTGCCTGCATCTGTTGTGAGTCTCTTTTTCAACGCTATTTAAAAACTGGTTTTAATACTGGCTTCGTATTTAATATCACCAATCCCGAATAAAAAAAATCACTTCAACCATAAAAAGGATTTCCATAATCTTTTTCTCGGTGCTTTGGAGTCGGGCAGAGCCAAACAAACAGAGCTGGGTGTGTGTCAGCAGAGCTTGAGGGAGGGAAGCTGCTCAATGACATCCTCAGAACAAGAGGTGACAAACCTGAGGYGAGGTTTGCAGCTCAGAGCTGCCTAATAAGCAAAAGCAGCTTAAGATTAAAGCCAGGCTTCTGGTCCAAGCAGTGCTTTGGAGCTCAGAGAGGAAGGAGAGCTCAGATAACGCCTGGAATGGGTCAAACGCTGCAGAATTGATGTGAACGAGGCCTTATCTGGCAGAGGAGCTGCTCCACACAAAMCCCCTTTCCTTGGAGCAGCTCCATTGTGAGCAGGAAGAAAAGAGCTGGAGCTTTGGAAAGCGCAGCACGTGCTGGGTGTCAGCTCATTGATCCGTGTGATCACGTCCAAAAACCTCGGGGAGATGAAAGGAGCTGCTCCTCCTGCTCATCCCAGCAGCAGAGGGGCTTTGAAGTTGATTTTCCAAGGGGATAACTGGGACACAAACAGCAGGAATTGCTCGGATTGTGGAGAAAAGCAGCAGTTGGGATGAGCCCCTGATGTTGTTTCCTTCAATTGGCACYTTGGAGGAGGCAGCAGACAATCCAAACATCCCAGAGAGCAGCAATATTTATCAATAATTTACCACTGGATCTGCTGGCGCTGCCCTAACGCTCATTTCTGTTCCCAAAAATAATAATTAATGGGATTATATATTAGAATAATGATCAGGTAACAGTGCTGCTCATTTGCTGTTGAGGAGGAGGAGAGGAGACAGGACAGGTTGGAGAAGGCCATGAAGAGCAAAGAAACATCTTAAAAAAAAAAGTTAAAAAGCAGGAATATCTAGAATAAAATATCTAGAAAGAAAAGCAGAAAAAGGGGCAGAAAAATCTCAATTTTAGCCACATTCCTGCTCCTTTGGGGAATTGTGAGAGGCTGCTCCCCATCTCCCTTCCCACCTTTTGCTGGCTGTACATCCACAATCATGCAGTCATCATCTTCCTCATCCTCCTCAGTGTCTGCCTGAAATCCATCCATCTCTGCAGCCTTGAGGGAAAGAAAGAAAAAAAGAAAGAACAGGTGCCAGGTGTGAGAGCAGGCACGGGCTGGGCACATCTGAGGGGAGGAAAAGCAGCAATTCCCAGCTCGGGGAGTTTTTGTCACCATTTCCCAGTGACAAAAGGGTTCATCTGCAGCGGGAATGGGGCCAAGCTCTGCTCCTTCCCTCTTACACAACACCCACAGCTCCACGGTGATCTGACTGACTGCAGTTTGGGAAGGGAAATCTCTCTCCTCTCTGTTGATTTTTTTTCAGTCACAGAATTGTCAAGGTCAGCGAGTCCCCAGYRCTGCCAAGGTCACCRCTGACCCTGTCCCCAAGTGCCACATCCACASGGGCTTTGAAATTCCCTGTRCCAGGGCTGGACAGCCCTTTTGATGAAAAAATTAATTCCTTTAATTAAAGTTCCTTAATTTATCATTTACAATCWACACAAACTCCAATTGTGAGAGTCTGTTGGTTTGGTTTTTTTTTTCCCCTTCAGCTGGAACTGGAATAAAAATCCCAATCCCCATTCCCTACAAACTGTTCCAAGCCAAGAAATTTTCAATTTACATTTTTCAATTTACATTATTTTTCAATTTACATTTTTCAATTTACATTTTTCAATAAAGCCCCAGCTCTCAGATGAAACCCCTCCTACACGTGGGCAGGTGCTGCCCACTTCAGTACCCACTTTTTTTTCCTCTCCACAGCTTATGTAAGATCACCTTTACTCACACAAACCCTGGGGTGAACCTCCTGCTAAAAAAACACGTGCCAGGGTGGCATTTCTGSCAGCTCTGCCCTCCCCAGGCTCGACAGGTAGGGTGGCATCTCAATACCTGATTGAGACATCAACCATGAAAGGTTTTTTTGGTTTTTTTTTGGGGCTGTGACACCTTTGAGGGAGCTGCACCTCRCCAGCACAGCTTTAAGAAGCTTTGAAGCGTTCAGGCTGGTGATGTAATTCTCCTAAAAGCCTTTGTTTTGCTATTTCTGCCTCCCTTATAAAGCTGAATTTCCAGTGGGTGCCAAGCAGAGACTTTTATCTCTGCCTTTATTTAGTGTACAAGAAAAAAAAAAAAAAAAAACCCAAGCAGATGGAGTTTGGGGGCTGAACAGCTTCTCACAAGTCTCTGATCTCTATCAATACCTGAATGCTGAGCTTTTTCAGCAGAAAAGCCAAAAAAGCCAAGAATAAATTGGGAAGGCAAAGCATAAAAAGCATCAAAAGCCTCAGCTGTGGTCCATAGGAAGGGGGTGGAACRARATGAGCTTTAAGGTCCCTCCYAACCCCAAATWTTCTGGGTTTTTTTTTCCTAACCTGGTGCACAGGGTATGAGGAATAAATCCACTGATGGGGATTTCAAACCCTGCACTGCCTGTGGGATTGGGAGAAAAAAAAAGCTGATAAACCCAAGGTTCAGCTCCTAAATTGGGATATTTTGGAGTGCCAGGAGAAGGGGRAATGGCTCCCCACTGGCAGAGGGMAGGGCTGGRTGGGATATTGGGAAGGAATTGTTCCYTKGGAGGGTGGTGACCCTGGCACAGRGTGCCCAGAGCAGCTGTGGTCATGCCCAGAGCATCCAGGGTCATTTTGGACAGGGTTTGGATCACCCTGGGATGGTGGGATCTGTCCCTGCCCATGGCACTGGATGGGATTTAGGATCCCTCCCAACCCAAACCAGKCTGSAATTCCATCATCCCATTTTTCARCCATGATTTGGCCRCCCTRAAAAGCAGAAACAACAACAAGAAAACCACAACAAAGCTCCCAAGCACCGACCACTGCAATTCCACCTCATTTTATCCCTATGAATTATTACATTTAAAAATGTAATATAAATCATTACATTTTAAGCTCTCGAAAATTCAGCTTTATGTGTGTCAGGATGAACTGGAGACTTTTACAGGTTGTTCTGGGGTGAGTTGCAGCACTCAGGAATCACATTTAACACATTCACATGGGACTGCTGTAAATCAGCAGCTCAGGCCGTGCATCCGGCACCCATCAAAACCTGCACAGCAGCTCCACACAGCTGGAAAACCAAGGCCAGGCAGACACTCCAACTATTCACAGCCTGGATGTGACTGCTGCCAAATAGAGAATGGAGGAATGGCAGGAGAGCAGCGTTTCCAGTGGAACTGAGAGCCCAAGCTGTGGGYACACAAAGGGAATCCATCTCTTTAGGGACATCGTTCCCTTCCTTTCCCCCACAAAAAGAATCATCTTRATGCTTTAGGATTTTYAGTTTCTCTATTTTCACATCTCTGTAGTCTCGTACTTCTCCAGTGTGCAGGATTAAAGATGTTATTGTCCCATCTTTAGACAAAACAATTCCTCCCTGGGCCTGAAACTCAAGGACACTTCASTGCTCAAGGCACTAAAATATGGAAACAACAGAGATTTGTGGGGAGTAAATTTTGGGTGGTTGACATCACCAMCTGAAGGTGCCATTGGAGAACTGAGGGCAATTATAAAAGGTGAAAATCTTGTGACTTAGGGTGAATTTTGGGTGCAGCCTTATRAGAAAGCTTTGTCTGCCCTCAGTGTACCAGCAGGCCTGGATTAAATTTGTCTGCTTTATTCTGCTCAATTTGCCTGGCCTCTGTTTCAGGTGAGCTTTGTTTTTTGGCATCAGCCTGGTGTGGAGGGCAAAAGGCTGAGCTGGGGGGCAACCAACACCCCCAACCCCATTCCCAAAACACCCCAGCAMCCATCAACTCACCTGCTCCGCATCCCGAGGTCTCTTCATGAACTTGGTGATGGACATGCTGTGGGTGGCCTTCCTCTTGGCTGCCAGGGGTGTTGGCARTGCCACAGCCACGCCTGGCACGGTGCCCACCTCCTCCTTGCCAGCACAGGGCACTTGGGTGACATAATTCCACTGGCAGGGGACRGGCAGGTGCTCCCGGCCGAAGCTGCGCAGAACCTCGGCGTGCACGTACCAGCACATCCTGAACTCGGGCCTCTTCTCGTACACAGAGTTCTCAGAAATGATCCTCTTGAGCCGAGCTTTGGAGGGGACCCCTCCATCCTCGGGGGTTGCTCCAGGGGTGTGGGGTCGTGGGGGGCTCCCGTCGCTGCCATCGGTCCCCGAAACGCTGAGCAGTCCCTGGCGGCAGCACTCCTGGAACTCCTGGATGATCACCTTGCTCCCGTGCACGTTGCCGTGCAGCAGCGGCAGGAGGTGGCCCAGGACTGTGGGGAAACAAGGGGGAATTGGTTAAAAATTGGGGAAGCCAAAACTGGATGTGCAGCAGCAGCAGGAGGTGGCCCAGGACTGTGAGGAACAGAGGGAAATGGGTTAAAAATTGGGGAAGCCAAAATTGGATGTGTAGCAGCAGCAGGAGGTGGCCCAGGACTGTGAGGAACAGAGGGAAATGGGTTAAAAATTGGGGAAGGCTAAACTCCTGGATGATCACCTTGCTCCCGTGCACGTTGCCGTGCAGCAGCGGCAGGAGGTGGCCCAGGACTGTGGGAAGCAAGGAAAAGTTGGTTAAAATTTGGGGAAGCCTAAAGTCCTGGATGATCACTTTGCTCCTGTGCACATGGCTGTGCAGCAGCAGCAGGAGGTGGCCCAAGACTAGAGAGAGCAAAGGGGAATTGGTTAAAAGTTGGGGAAGCCTAAACTCCTGGATGTGCAGCAGTGGCAGGAGGTGGCCCAGGATTGTGAGAAACAAGGAAAAATTGGTTAAAATTTGGGAAAGCCTGAACTCCTGGATGATCACTTGGTTCCCGTGCACGTTGCCGTGCAGCAGCGGCAGGAGGTGGCCCAGGACTGCGGGGAGCAAAGGAAAATTGGTTAAATGTTGGCAAAACCTAAATTTCTCGATGTGCAGCAGCAGGAGGAGGTGGCCCAAGACTAGAGAGAGCAAAGGGGAATTGGTTAAAAGTTGGGGAAACCTAAATTTCTAGATGTATAGCAGCAGCAGGAGGTGGTCCAGGACTGTGGGAACAAAGGGGAAATTGGTTAAAAATTGGGGAAGGCAAAATTGGATGTGCAGCAGCGGCAGGAGGTGGTCAAGGACTGCAGGGAGCAAAGGGAAATTGGTTAAAAGTTAGGGAAGCCTGAATTTCTGGATGTGCAGCAGCAGGAGGTGGCCCAGGACCATGGGAAGCAAGGAGGAATTGGTTAAAAGTTGGGAAAACCTAAATTTCTGGACCTGCAGCAGCAGCAGGAGGTGGCCCAGGACCATGGGAAGTGAAGGGGGAACTCATTAAAAGTTGGGGAAACCTAAATTTCTGGATTTGCAGCAGTGGCAGGAGGTGGTCCAGGACTGCAGGAAGTAAGGAGGAATTGGTTAAATGTTGGGGAAACCTAAATTTCTGGATGTACAGCAGCAGGAGGTGGCCCAGGATTGTGGGGAACAAAGGGAAATGGGTTAAAAATTGGGGAAGGCAAAATTGGATGTGCAGCAGCGGCAGGAGGTGGCCCAGGACCGTGGGAAGCGAAGGGGGAACTCATTAAAAGTTGGGGAAACCTAAATTTTGGATGTGCAGCAGTGGCAGGAGGTGGCCCAGAACTGTGGGAAACAGAGGGAAATTGGTTAAAAGTTGGGGAAGCCTAAACTGAATTTGCAGCAGTGGCAGGAGGTGGTCCAAGACTAGAGAGAGCAAAGGGAAATTGGTTAAAATTGGAGAATTCTGAATTTCTGAATGTGCAGCAGTGGCAGGAGATGGCCCAAGACTGCGGGGAACAAAGGGGAATCATTTAAAAACTGGGGAAGCCTGAACTCCTGGATGTGCAGCAGGGATAAGAGGGGGCCCAGGATTGTGGGAAACAAGGAAAAATTGGTTAAAATTTGGGGAAGCCTGAACTCCTGGATGATCACCTTGCTCCCGTGCACGTTGCCGTGCAGCAGCGGCAGGAGGTGGCCCAGGACTGTGGGGAACAGAGGGGAATTGGTTAAATGTTGGGGAAGCCTGAATTCCCAGGTGGGAAACGAAGGGGAATTGGTTAAAAATTGGGGAAACTTAAATTTCTGGATGTACAGCAGCAGCAGGAGGTGGTCAAGGACTGCAGGGAACAGAGGGAAATTGGTTAAAATTTGGGGAAGGCTAAATTTCTGGACCTGCAGCAGCAGGAGGTGGCCCAGGACCGTGGAAAGCGAAGGAGGAACTCATTAAAAGTTGGGAAAACCTAAATTTCTGGATGTACAGCAGCAGCAGGAGGTGGCCCAGGATTGTGGGGAACAAAGGGAAATTGGTTAAAATTTGGGGAAGCCAAAATTGGATGTGTAGCAGTGGCAGGAGGTGGCCCAGGACTGTGGGAAGCAAGGAGGAATTGGTTAAATGCTGGGGAAACCTAAATTTCTGGACCTGCAGCAGCAGCAGGCCCAGGATTGTGGGAAACAAGGAAAAATTGGTTAAAAGTTGGGGAAGCCTGAACTCCTGGATGATCACCTTGCTCCCGTGCACGTTGCCGTGCAGCAGCGGCAGGAGGTGGCCCAGGACTGTGGGGAAACAAAGGGAAAATTGGTTAAAATTTGGGGAAACCTAAACTGAATTTGCAGCAGTGGCAGGAGCTGGTCCAAGACTAGAGAGAGCAAGGGGGAATTGGTTAAAAGTTGGGAAAACCTAAATTTCTGGACCTGCAGCAGCAGCAGGAGGTGGCCCAGGACTGCAGGGAGCAAAGTGAAATTAGTTAAAAATTGGGGAAACCTAAATTTCTGGATGAACACCAGCAGCAGCAGGAGGTGGCCCAAGACTGCGGGGAACAAAGGGAATTGGTTAAAATTTGAGGAAGCCTAAATCAGCACAACCACTCCAGAGTGGGGAAAAGAGGCTGGGATGGAATTTAGAGAAGTTAAACCCAAAATCACTTCATTGGATTGTCCTTGGASGTGTCCAAGGTCAGGTTGGATGGGGATGGAGCACCTTGGGACAGTGGRAGGTGTCCCTGCCCRTGGCAGGATGGGCTTTAAGCTCCTCCCAACCCAAACCACTCTGGRATTCTAAAATTGTGACAGCAGCTAAATTTTATCTGGAATAACAATGACACTTTGGAGTGAAATCCTCACCCCATTTGTGTGAGTTGTTCATGTCCTTGTACTCATCAGGTGTAGGAGAAGCTCAGAACTGGGAGAACCAACACACAAACCAAACCCTCTCCCCCAAAAAATGAACAGGCTCAAGCTCATCTGAAATCTGAGCTTGCTCAAGTCAGGTTGGCTTTATTTCCTAGATTGCCCAGAGCAAGAGTTTTTGGAGAGGCAAAGCCAGAAATCTCCTTTCCAAGAGCTCTCAGAGATTCCTCRGATTCCAGACTTGTCAGAAACAGCTCATTGTGAATCCAACCCTCAGCAATTCCCTTCTCCCCCCAAAACTGAACACAACAGCTCTGTTTAACCCTTCAGTTCTTACTTTGCTGATCYTTTGCTCGTTTTTTGCTGCATTTCTGTGTCTGCTGCTCTTCCTCTGCCACGGGAGGCTCCAGCACACAGGCTGTGAACTGCTGGAGAATCTTCAGGTCTGAGCTGGTGCTGCTGTCCTGTGCTGCCCATTCCCAGACACAGCCAATCTTCACAGGCTGCAGGACATGGAATCTCTTGCCTTTTGCTATCAGCTCATCCCATTCCTTGGCTTTCAGTTTCTGCCGAACTTTCTGGTTCTCTGGATCACATTCCTGCAGCCACGGGAGAGAAAAGACTCATTAAATCCACACCAGGATAAAAAAAAAAGAGTTTTTTAACATCATTTTGCCTCAATCACTTTTCTTCCCCTGCCAATATTGACATGACACAGTTCACTGGAAACTCAGGAACAGCCAGCTCACCTCTGTCACACCTTCATCTTCAGATAGGTACCCATGGGGTACAAAAAACCCATCGTCCTCATCTTCATCCTCTCCCTCCTCTTCATCATCCTGCAAATAAAACAGATCAGGAATCACACTGCCAAGTGCAAAGAGCTCCCAAATTTTTTATTTTCAGCATGCAGGATCCTCACCTCCTCACTGTGAGAGAGGCTTTCTCCAGGCTCTTCCTCTTCCCACTCTTCATCACTGTCCACCTCRTAGTCCAGCAGTTTCTGCAAGAAAACCCCAAGATTCCATTTCTGCTCATCCTTTGAGAGCTCCACACAAAACCCAGTTTGGAATTTCACAGCTGAGGGAATGCACAGAAAGCTCAGGGTGAAAGGAATGAGAGGGAGATGGCTTTAAAAACAAATTATGGAGTTTGCTGGTACAGAAGGTTAGATATTGATAGGTGAAAGGAGTAGTGAGTAAATTMTACAGGAATTCCATTAATTGACACAGAATTACTCACTCCAAGCAGTGCTAAATCCCTGGATTTAGAGAAAAACAACAGAAACAAAGAATAAAAAAAAAGAGGAGGGATGTACATGAGGTGGGGGTCTGTATTAGGTGATTCAAGAAGTTTGTACCCCTCAAGTATTTCAGTCAATGGGAAAAAAGAGAAGAAATGCAGTCGGAAAATTGGGATAAAAAGGAGAATGCACTCTCTAAAAATTGGAGAGACTCCATGGAAATGTCCCACGGCCTCTCCCTTTATTTGAATAAAGTCACAGGACTCCTCTGTCTCCTTTTCAAACATAAACCTCTGGTGTTTGTGAATTAAATTTCCTAACAGAGYTGGCCAAGCACATTCATTTTCAGAGCATAACAAGCAAAGGAGCCGAGGTGCTTACGGTGTCCTTGGACCAGGGATTCCTGGCACGGATCAGGGAGGTTCTCTTGTTCCAGGTACCCCAGTAGGCAGGACGGTGATTTTCACTGAACTGCAGCAGCTTCATCCTGCCAAATTTCTCCCTCTCAGGGACACCATCAGGTTGGCAGCTGTCCACCACCACCACGTCACTGGGGACAAAGGGACAAGATGGTTTGGAACAGCTCCAGCCTTCCCTTCTCTCCAATCACCCCCCAAAACCCTTTAATTTCATTAATTTTCATTTAATTTCATTAAATTTCATTTAATTTCATTAAATTTCATTAATTTTCATTTAATTTCATTAAATTTCATTAATTTTCATTTAATTTCATTTTAAAAAAACCACACAAAATGAGCCCTCAAACCCAAACTGACCTGTTGATACTGTCACTGCTGTCATTGACCAAAGTGGGCCCTGTTTTTCGTGGTTTACGACGTTTTAGATCCATCAGGAAGGAAAARTCACCATTTTGGGCGTGCAGGAGTTTATCCAGCTGCTCCAGATAATCTGGATCCAGGGCAACACGRCTGAGAGGGGCTAAAACCATGTTCTCCTTGATTTCAAAAGGAGCAAACTTCCCACAGGAGCCAGCAAGAGTCTGGAATATCAAGGGAGGGATGTCAGGGTTTGGATACCTGGGAAGGAGCTGCAGGTCTGAGGTGAAGATTTAGATTAAGTGAAGATTAAGGTTAAGCCTTTCCTATGCAAGATTTCAGCAAATCTTCCAGGTAATCTTTACAGACAGTGCAGAAAACAGAGCTGAGAGTTTTACTGAACCAACCAAAATTCTCTGCAGTCTCTGCTCTGGTTTTTTTCTTAAAATCCTTTACAATTTGAGAGTGGGAAATTTAGAAAAATTAATGCTTTGTCCACCTAAGCAGCCCAAAGGGGTGGGTGAGAAGGAAATCAGGGAATTTGTTAGAAAAAAAAMCCCAAAACACAATCCCTCACCTTCGGGGCTTGKGGAGTCTTTGGTTTCTGGAAGAACCTGGTGATTTCTGCTTTTTGGGCGTTCAGGCGCTGAAATGAGAACCCAGAMACAAAATATCAGCACAGAGACACAAAAAGCTTTGGGATTCACAAAAAAATTGAATTTCAAATGCAAAATTTAGGCAACACCAGCTCCTGGGAGTGAAGGAAAACATTTCTTGTGTCCCCTGACATAGCCAGGGGACAGTTCACTGGTGGGCATTGAGGAACACACAGAGAAAACTCTTGAGGGTAAAAAAAAAACCCAAAAATTTTGAGGGCAAAAAAACCACCAAAAATCTTGAGGGTAAAAGAAAACCCCAAAACTCTTGACGGAAAAAAAACCTCCAAAACTCTTGAGGGTAAAAAAAAAAAAAACAAACCCAAAAGTCTTGAGGGTAAAAAAAAACCACCAACACTCTTGAGAGTAAAAAAACCCCAAAAGTCTTGAGGGTAAAAAAAGCCCAAACTCTTGAGGGTAAAAAAAAAACCCCAAAACTCTTGAGGGTAAAAAAACCACCAAAACTCTTGAGGGTAAAAAAAAACCCAAAACTCTTGAGGGTAAAAAAACCCCAAAACTTTTGAGGGTAAAAAAACCTCCAAAACTCTTGAGGGTAAAAAAAAAAAAACCCAAAACTTCTGAGGGTAAAAAAAAACCACAACCAAAACTCTTGAGCGTAAAAAAAAACCAAAACCCAGCAGGTCAGAGGGGACAGATTCCATCCCAAGTGGCATCACCAACACCATTTCACCCCAGTAAAATTTATAACCAAGCCAAGGTAAAAACAAAATTTTACCTTTTCCTCCTCCTTTAACCGTTTCTCCTCCTCTTTCTTTCTCTTCTCCTCGAGTTTTGCCCTTGAAAACAAAGACAAATTGTCACACACCAGGAAGGATTTATTTGCACTGAGAAAGGGATGGGAAACTCAAAACCCTGATCCAGACCCCTCCAAAAGGACAATTTGGCACTCCAGCCAAGCACCACGCTTGGTTTAGAGCAGAGAAGATTTTGTTCATTCCTTSCAGAGCAAATATTGACCCATTTCAGCCACAAAATGTCAAAAGGCTGCCTCAGGTTTCCCTCAGCACCAGGAAATGGATGGGATTGTGAACCATGGGGAATTTCATCAGCAAACAGGGCCCAGAATGAAGTGCACAGCAGAGGTGACAGAGGTGACAGAGGTGACAGAGGGCAGGAGGGGAAGGCATTTCTGGGATGGGGCAGCATTTTAAACCCTCCCTGGCACCCCAAATTGTGCTCCTGCAACATTTCAAACCCTCCCTGTGACCCCAGATTTCTGCAGAATTTCAAACCCTCCCTGTGACCCCAAACTGGTGCTGCTGCAGCATTTCAAACCTTCCCTGTGACCCCAAATTGGTGAAGCATTTCAAACCCTCCCTGTGACCCCAGACTGGTGCTCCTGCAGCATTTCAAACCCTCTCTGTGACCCCAAACTGGGGCTGCTGCAGCATTTCAAATCTTCCCTGTGACCCCAAATTGGTGCTGCTGCAGCATTTCAAACCCTCCTTGTGACTCCACATTGGTGCTGCTGCAGCATTTCAAACCTTCCCTGTGACCCCAAATTGGTGAAGCATTTAAAATCCTTCCTGTGACCCCAGATTGGTGCTGCTGCAGCATTTCAAATCCTCCCTGTGACCCCAAATTGGTGAAGCATTTCAAACCCTCCCTGGGACCCCAGATTTCTGCAGCATTTCAAATCCTCCCTGTGACCCCACATTGGAGCTCCTGCAGAATTTCAAACCTTCCCTGTGACCCCACATTGGTGCTGCTGGAGCATTTCAAATCCTCCCTGTGACCCCAGATTTCTGCAGCATTTCAAACCTTCCCTGTGACCCCAAATTGTGCTCCTGCAACATTTCAAACCCTCCCTGTGACCCCAGATTTCTGCAGAATTTCAAACCCTCTCTGTGACCCCAAATTGGTGCTGCTGCAGCATTTCAAATCTTCCCTGTGACCACAAATTGGTGAAGCATTTAAAATCCTTCCTGTGACCCCAGATTGGTGCTGCTGCAGCATTTCAAATCTTCCCTGTGACCCCAAATTGGAGCTCCTGCAGAATTTCAAACCTTCCCTGTGACCCCATATTGGTGAAGCATTTCAAACCCTCCCTGTGACCCCAGATTTCTGCAGCATTTCAAACCCTGCCTGTGACCCCAAATTGGTGCTGATGCAGAATTTCAAACCCTCCCTTTGACCCCAGATTTCTGCATTTCAAACCCTCCCTGTGACCCCAGATTTCTGCATTTTAAACCCTCCCTCTGACCTCAGATTCCTGCAGCATTTCAAACCCTCCCTGTGACCCCAAATTGGTGAAGCATTTCAAGCTCTCCCTGTAACCCCACATTGGTGCTGCAGAATTTCAAACCCTCCCTGTGACCCCAAATTGTGCTCCTGCAGCGTTTCAAACCCTCCCTGTGACCCCAAATTTGGTGAAATTCTGCTCCTGCTGCATTTCAAACCCTCCCTGGGACCCCAAATTGGTGCTGCTGCAGAATTTCAAACCCTCCCTGTGACCCCAGACTGGTGCTCCTGCAGCATTTCAAACCCCAAATTGGTGCTGCTGCACAATTTCAGCCTCTGGAGGGTTGGGAAAGGCAGGCAGGGGATGGAAAGCAGCCCAGGCACTCACTCCAAAGCCTCCTGCCTCTCCTTGCGCTTCTCCTCCTTCACTCGCAGCTTCTCAGCTTTTTCCTTCTCTTCCTTTTCTTTCTTTTCCCTCCTTTCTTTCTCTTTCAACTCCTTCTCTTCCTCTTTTCTCTTCTTGGCCTCYTCCTTGGCTCGTTCTTTTGCAGCTTTTGCTTCTTCCTTCAGCCTCCCCTTCTCCTCCCTCTCTGCTTGAAGCTTTTGGAGTTTGTCAGCTCGTTCCTGGTCCTGGGGCACAAAGGGGACAATCAGGGAATGGCTTTTGGGGCACCAAAACCCCAATTAAAATCAAAATTTTGTTCATTCAAAGAGGAAATCAACCCCACACGATGCATCACAAAATATCCCAAAAGATATTTTGGGAAGAACCCACATTATTCCCAAAAATGAGGTGGRAGCACATCCCAGTGCCTTGGGAACTCAGGAAATTGTGCTTTTGGGGCACCAAAACTCCAATTAAAATCAGAATTTTGCACCTTCAAAGAGGAAATTAAACCCACCCAATGCTCCACCTGCAGCATCACAAAATATCCCAAAAGATATTTTGGGAAGGACCCACATTATTCCCAAAAATGAGGTGGAAGCACATCCCAGTGCCTCAGGAACTCAGCAAATTCCACTCTCATGGCACCAAAACCCACATTAAAATCAGAATTTTGTGCCTTCAAAGAAGAAATCAAACCCACCCAAAGCTCCACCTGCAGAACCACAAAATATCCCAGAAGGTATTTTAGGAAGGACCCACATTATTCCCAAAAATGTGGTGGGAGCACATCCACAGCTCCCCAGTGCTTCAGGAACTCAGGAAATTCCACTCTCATGGCATCAAAACCCACATTAAAATCAGAATTTTACTCATTCAAAAAGGAAATTGAACCCACCCAAAGCTCCACCTGCAGAACCAAAAAATATCCCAAAGAATATTTTGGGAAGGACCCACATTATTCCCAAAAACGAGCTAGGAGCACATCCCAGTACCTTGGGAACTCAGCAAATTCCACTCTCATGGCATCAAAACCCACATTAAAATCAGAATTTTGCTCCTTCAAAGAAGAAATCAAACCCACCCAAAGCTCCACCTGCAGCATCACAAAATATCCCAAAGAACATTTTGGGAAGGTCCCACATTATTCCCAAAAATGAGCTGGGAGCACATCCCAGTGCCTCAGGAACAAACCAGCTGTGCTGCCTCTCTGAAAGCTTTAATTATTCTTTTCCCTTAGCCAAAAATAAAAAAAAAAAGGTGCTTGCATTTCTCTGAGCTTTGTATTGAGTCATCTTCATTATCACKGTAGCATTAGGGGAAAATGAGATGGGAATTAAAAAATTGTAATTATTGCTGTATTTAACAGGAGATTTCAGATTGTTTTCAAAATATTTCGCCCTGAGCCAAGCTTTGGTGCCATCACAGGGAGGCAGTGATGCCACTTTTTACAAGTGAATTTATGCTGATTTTACACCATAAATTCTGATTTTTTAATTATTAAAAAATATTTCAATGATCCTCATGGGTCACTCCCAAAGTGGGATCTCAGGGAATAACTGAGGCTCCAAATTGTGGAGCTTATTCTTTGTTTTATTCCATTTTAGATCATCCAATTTGYTCAAGGAGCACTCTGTGAACAGCAGGGAGAAGATTTTATTGGATTTGCTGCCTTTTGTGGTGTTTTCTCCCAAAACAACTCCAATTCTCACCACGCCTCTGCTGACACAAAGGAGAAAAATGCCAAATTTAAGAGTTTTCAGTGTCACAGGCACCGGTGATATCACCAGRAAAGGAGGATTCTCCTCCTCCCTGGGAATATTTTCACTTTTCTTTTATTGATTTCACTCTCTCCTTGTCAACATCGAGGCTTCCTGAGCAGTTTCACAACACAAAATAACTACAGAAAAGCCACCAAGAGCCAAAYGGTGCCAATGGCAAGGAAACAACACTGTCAGCCTGAGTCATGAAATGAGCTGACAGCTCTGCTTCAYTCTCAGCAGCATTTTTAGCTTCTTTTCTCCTTTCTCCCTCACATTTTTGCTATTTTTGAGGTAGTTATAGAAAGGAGGAAAACAACAGATTGGGATTTTATATGGGGGCGCTGGGTACAACTTATATAAAACATGTGAAGTTTATAAACAAGGCACTGAGAGATACAATTATATTCCCAAGGGTAGATAAAACAACCCCCAAAAAAGCCCTTTCAGCCAGAAATGACTGCTGGAAATTCCAGGGGATCCTTCAGCCTCCTGGATATCCAGAATTCCATGATTGACAGCAAAAATTAGGGAGCTGCATCCAAGGAAACAGAAYCTGGAGCTTGAGCATTCCCAGTGGTGGTACCCAGTGGTGACACCCTGGAGGAAGGCAAAATGCCCCAATTTTCTTTGTGTTTTAATAAAAACAGATTTAAAATTTTGGGCCTGAAACGTTCCCAATCTCCTCCTAAAGTGCACCAAATGAACCCACAGTTTTGGGAGGAGCAAAGCATTTTAACTGCCTGTGTTAAAGTTTTTCATTCAAGTTTTTCGTTAAAGTTTTTCATTAAAGTTTTTCATTAAACACCAAAAAAAGATGCTCCAGGTGGGCTGAGGTAAAAGGCAAAGGGTTTTGGCTGCTGCTCAGGTGAGGTTTGTGTGTCAGGGAAATGCCTTACTCTTTGCAATCTCAGCTTCTCCTTCTCTGCCGAGCTCCTGTGGAATTTCTGAGGTACCTGGAACGACAAAAATGGGAATTTTAGAGGAGATCTTGAGCATTCCAGGGGAGCAGGAATGAGGACACAYCTCAGGCATATCCAATCTCCCCATTTCCATTTCCAGTGCTCCTGTTCCCATGAAATCCTCACATTACCACATTTGCATAAAAAACCCCTCAGGAACATCCAGGAGAGCTGCTCTGAACCACGAGGGACATTTAAATATGGCAAAGTCACTTCCTTCCAGTTACATTTGGGTTTTTTTTGTTTGTTTTTTTTTTTACCCACTTATCCTGCTGTGATATTTAGGAATAACTTTATAAATTCAAGGATTGTTTTCTGTATTTTAACACTGTTTCTTGTCATCAGTCTGCTTGATCTTCCACCAGTGTCAGCTCACTAAAATCTAAACAGGGTATTTTTCTCATTTATTTTTTATTTATGGGGAAAAAAAAATAGTTATTTTCTGCTTAAGATCATTGTTTATAGACTGGTTAAAGGCCTCATTTGTCAATATTTCAGCACTCTCAGATCTCCCCTCCTCCTCCTGCCATTCACAGCATCACATTTAAACTGTGATTAACAGGCTAACACATCCCAACTGCTTTATTTTCTATATTTATCTGATMTAAAACAAGAATTCTGTCATGTGGGGGCTTCAATTCCTCAGAGCTGTTTCCTCCCAGGAAAACAAACCCGTCAGGACTCTCATTTTGGGGAGCAGCACACAAGCAAGGAAATATTGGATTATATTGGGGTGTTTTTGTTGTTCTGCCACACTGAAAATATTTCATGCCTGCTTGAGTGTGTCTGTTTATTTTAGGGGTGGGAGATTGGGAGTTTTYACAGAGGAGGAATTGATCATTTGATAAAACACAGCAAAAGGAGCAGGAGAACCACACCCACGGTGCTTCGGCCACCTGAGCGGATTCTCTGTCAAAACTGCCCCAAAAATCAGAATATTTGGGGTTTCTGGTTGAAGCAGARCTGCTAAAATGGAACTTTGGTGATAATAAACAACCTCAGCCAGGGTTTTTTTCATGGAATCCCAGAATATTTGGGTTGGGAGGGATTTTAAATCCCATCCAGTGCCATGGCAGGGACATTTCCACYACCTCAGGGTGCTCCAAGCCCTGTCCAACCCTGGACAATTCCAGGGATGAGGCATCCACAGCTTTTTTTGGGAAATCTGTGCCAGAGCTTTTCCGTGGTAGCTGCAGAAATTCAGAGCTGGAAAAGCATCTGCACTGCCTGTACTGGGGGAACATCCTCACAGGAATTGCAGCAGGAGAGACAGAGCTTGGAAAGCAGCACCTAAAGGACAAAACTGTCGGAGATTTGGAACTCTCTGTTACCAAAACATCAAATCCCAAAGTGGGCATTTCATTAAAAAAAATGTAAACACAGCAGCAGCTCAGAAGCAGGCAGGATAAAATCCTTTAAAGATTCCAAAGGGCAATAATTCAGTTATTAATCAACACCCCTCTGCTGCTCTGTGTCCCACTCACCCCCTTCCCCATAAACCAAAAATTGCAAAATTTGAKGCCAAAAGAGAGCAGCCCCACCTTCCTGGCAGGTGTGGAGGCAGCCAAAGGACTCGTGTTCCTCTTGGATTCTGCCACCAGCTGCACCTCGGGCGAGCTCCCTGAGCTCAGTGAGGAATTGCTCAGTCCTGAGTCCCCCTCGTGAGATGATTCCATGGCCTCGTTGTCTGACGTTTCCAGAGAAACCACGGGTGGTGATTTTCCACTCATGATRTCCTCCAGCAGCACCACAGGCACCTTCCCCTCAAAAAGCACATCCTTCAGTTCGTTTGTGCTGCCTCCCAAATCCTCCCGTGCCTCAGAAGTCTCTGTGGGGTCATTTTTTGGGATGCTCTGTGAGGAATTTGGGCAGCTGGACGGTTTTAGTTCTGTCCCGTTGGTTACAGCAGCTCTGGAATCCAGATCAGCCCGGTCTGTGCTGTCCCCAAATCCATGGGCAGAGTCCTGAGGAGGGTCAGGAACAACCCCAGGGTCGTTTGTGTCACCTCCCGAGGTTTTCTGGATAAAATGGTCTAAGGGACCCTTTCCATTGACGAGTTTTGGAGTTAAATTCCCATCTGAGCCCAGCTGGCAGTCGTTCTCCACATTGTCCAGGGAGGCACCGGAGGCATCCARGGAGGGATCCTTGCTGGGAACAAAAGCACTCGGGGAGCTCTTGACTTTTTTGACTTCTGAATCCACATCGAATTTTTCCTTTGGCACGGGATTGAGGCGCTTGAAGGGCAACCGAGCTGCAACGACAACACCATTTAGTCACAGGAAAGGGGGAACCACCATCCAAATATTTTATTCATTTTGAAACATAAGATTTCAGACAAGCCACTTAGGGATGGTTTAATCACAGCCAAGCCAATGTATTTCAYAAAATCAGGTCTGAAATGTTTTTAGCATTAAAAACATTAATTAAATGCGTTAAAGYAGTGCTGGAGGAGAGACAGTGCCTTACCTTGGACAAGCTTCCGTGGAGGAACAGCAGCTTTGTCTCTGCACTCCATGGCTACGGGAGAAAACAACAAATCAACACCTGGGTTATGTTCCCAACGAGCTGGGACAGCTGAGGCAGAGCCCAGCAGCTCTCCCAGGGATGGGGAGGGAGGATAAAAGGGTCCCACTGTCACCCTAAAGGAACCTGGAGCCACAGTGTCCCCCTCGCTGGGGTGGCAGGAATGTCCCCAAGGAGCCTGGGCCTGCACCCAACGAGATGTGAGGAGGAAATTCCTCCCYGTGAGGGCGGTCAAGCCCTRGCACAGGGTGCCCAGAGCAGCTGAGGCTGTCCCTGGATCCCTGGCAGTGCCCAARGCYGGGTTRAACRGGGCTTGGAGCWCYCTGGGMCAGTGYAAGGTGTCCCTACCATGGCAGRGGCGCGATGGGATGGCCTTTAAGACACCTCCCCACCCAAACCGATCTATAACCCCACCACCGAAGCTGCAGGGCGGGCCCGGGCCCAGCCTCGGGGCGCGGCGGCAGCTCCGGCGCCTCCTTTGTTACCCCAGGCAGGCCCCGCGCACCCCGCGGCCCAACCGCCGCCGGAAACACCTCTCTCCCCGGCCGTACCGCATCCCCAAGCTCTGCCCTACCTGTCCCGGCGGCCGGCGCGGCTGAGCGGCCGTCCCGGGCGGCGGTGGCCGAACCCGACACGGCCCGGCCCGCGCARCCCCCGCCGCTCCCGGGCCCGTCCCGCTCGTACTTGGCGGGAGCCGGGGCGACCCCGCGTCCCGCGCCGCTGATTGGCGGAGAGCGCCCCACGTGACCCGCCCGTTCACGCGTCTCGCTTTCCGATTGGCTGAGGCAGCGGGCGGCGGTGATTGGCTAAGGTGGGTGTCAATCWGGCGCGATTCGGGCGGTGATTGGGTGGGTTTGTGGAGGGACGGCGGGGCGCCGTGGGGTTCTTGTGCTTGGACCGGAGGCTCGGCCGCTCGGTCTTTCCTGCCGGGGCGGTGGCAGGCCGGATCGGTCTTTCCGTAGCACCGGGAGGAGTGGGCGGAGCCACCACCGCCGCACGCCGCGCCACTGAGGGCCCCGAGCCAACGCGCGAAATGGCGGCGGAGCCAGCGGCCAATTAGCGCCCGCCGCTGAGACGCGCAGGCGCAGACGTTGCCGCGAGGAATGCTGGGAGTTGTAGTTTTCCATTGAAAGCGGCGATCGCCTCTTTTTTACCCCCCCGAGCTATGGCGGGGGGTCCCTGCCTGGCTGTCCCCGTGTCGCACACGCGGTCCGTGCTGCGTCTCGCAGGAGAAAGGCGCGGCTGCGGCACCGTCAGTCTCCAACACGAGAGAATGCAATGTCCCAATGTGTCGGGATAGTCGCCCATCCCGACTATCGCGACACCGCGGTTCCGCCAGGCCGCCAGGGGGCGCGCTGTCACCGCGCGGCGCTCCGGCCGCTCCTCTCGGTGGTTGGTGGCGGCCGGGGGCGGGCCCGGGCGGCGGCGGAAGCGGCGGCGGCGGGGACGGGGACGGGCCGGGCCGGGCTGGGACGGGCGGAGCGTCCTGAGGATCTCGAAGCTCCCGCCGCCCCCGCAAACCCAAGTCCCGCCGCCCGCAGCCACCGGGGCCCCCGCCGCCACCGGGCCAGGCACCGGCGCACCGGCACCATGTCGGTGGCGGGGCTGAAGAAGCAGTTCTACAAAGCGACCCAGGTGAGACACCGGCACCCCGCGCCCGTTCCCTCCTCCGTTATTCTCCGGAGAGGCCGTTCTTCCCTCACCGGTTGGGAGAACCCCGGCGGAGCCCGATGGCCGCCGTTTTCCCCTCACGGCATCACCGGGGACATCCCCCGGTGTCCCCATCTCGTCGATCTCCCGGTTCTCCGTGTTCCCTTTCCCGGTGATCCCGGAGCTGTGTGGGGTCCGGGTTGGGGGTCCCGTTCTCCCGGTTGGGCTGTGGAAGGGACGCGCTGAGGGAAATCCTCCACCGGGGACCGGGTGACACCGTGAGGGTCCCGCTCGCGTTTTGGGGTTTTTTCCCCCTTTTTAAAACCCGTCCGCACAACCGGGACKGATCAGCCCCACAACGGGCGGGATGGCCTTGGAAATGCGGAAATTTCTCCGGGATTACCGGAGAAAATCCCCGGTTTTCCGGTATTACCGGAGCTGCAGCCCGACCTCGGGAAGMTCCCGCTTCCTGCGGAGCAAATGGAACCGGGAGAGATTCGGGAATTCAGGGGGTCTGGAGGGATCCCAGGAGATGGGGAAAAGCTGGGGAATGTCGGAAAAATCTCGGGGATTTCAGCCAGGATTGAGGCCGTCGTTTAACGGGAGTTTTTTTTGGGGTGTCTTTGGGGCTCTTCGCCCTGAATTCCCCATCCCTGGATGCATCCAAGGCCGGGCCAGAACAGCCTGGAATAGTGGAATGGGATAATCTTTAGGATTTCTTCCAACCCGAACCTTTCTGGCCTCAAGCAGGGTTYATAAACCCCTTTTTCTCACCCTCAAATGAGGGATGACCATTCCCAACCCCCCCGAGCAGAATTATCCTCCCCACCATTTCCTGTGAAGAGTTGGGATGTTTTTTTAATGCATTTTGGGACCGATTCAGGAATCACAAATCCCCCCTCTGCTGCTGCTTTCCTGCCCCTGTTTTAAATTTCRGATAAATTTGGCACAGGTCATGTTTTCCATCCCCGATTTTAAACCCTTTCAGCTCATCCCACCCCTGTGCACGACGTGTGTCGCCTCCTTCCTCGGCTCTCTTTTCCCAAATCCATTTTATTTACCCAGCAAAGCAAAATAACAAATTCCMGAAGTCATCCCCCACCCCCTTTCACGCTAAACCCATCGTGGGTTTTTTTTTTTTTTACAACTTCCACGGGGAAAAGTCGTGCTGGGAGCTCAGTGTGGGAGGATTTTGCCAGCCTGGATGTGCCAGGAGGTGAAAACCCCTCGGTGATTCAGGACTAATGTTTTCCTAAACCCAAAAATATCATTTTAAACCCCCAATTAAACAGTTTTTTTGGAGGAATTTTAAATTCTTCCAGAGGTGCTGCCACCCTCTTCARTGCTCTGGGGACAGGGACAGAGGTGTCTGTGATGTGGAGATGCTCTGAGCGGAAATTGGGAGTCACTGGTTCCAGTTTGGCTTTTTTTTTTTTGTCTTTTCCTCCCCTTCCTTCCCTTTCCYCATTTTCTTCCCTTCTCCCCTTCCTTCCCTTTTCCCCCTCTGGTCCCACTCAGCTTTTGGCTGAAGGAGGGGAGAATTAGTTATTTTTTGGCTGCCTTAAAACCATCATCCTCTGCCAAAACCCAACATGTGGAAGATCTTTCCTCAAACGTTACGTTTTGTTCCACGTCTGTCCTTAATTGAAGGCAAACAGAGCCAAGAGTGGGGTCTGTAGTGACCCCAGAGGGTTTGGGATCTCTTTTTGGGATTTTGAGGSAGCAGGGTTTGGCTCGTGGGCTTCATCCTTGTGATTCCTCCAAGCCCACGTCTCCCTTGGGTGAGGCAGCGAGGCGCCCACACGCAAGAGAGAGTCTGGAGTATCCTGAAAAAAAAAAATAAATAATAAAAATTCCGAGTCGTGCTGGCAAATGCTGCAGATGGGGAGCAGCTCTGAGTGTGTCCAGAACAGGTTCTGCCTGTTCGTGGCAAAATGTTCTCTAAAAAAAAATAAAAAAGTAAAGAAAGCTGGAGAAAACATTCTGAGGAAGGAGGAGAAACAGTGGTAGCTTGGAGCTGGGAACGGCTGGTCCAAGGTTTCATCCAGTCGGGAATTTTCATCCAGGGACYTTCTGRTGTAGAAACAGCTTCGTTTGCACCSTTTGGGTTTTGTACAAACTGACAGAAATCCTAAAATCGTGCAAATCTTCCCAGCCGGTGGGCAGGGGAGGCTGCTCTTGCTGGG